TTTCTTTTAGCATGTAACCAGATTATCACTCTTTAGATTTGACTTTGTATCAGTGAAAGCAAAGACTTGGCAATTATAATATTGTCACTATAATACTGTATAAACCAATTTGCAAGTGTAATATACAAAATAATTGTTAGGCAAAAAGTGCAATCTTCTGAGCTACTTGTTGTTTGCTAGTCCTTATGTAAAGTTACATATGATAGTTATATTACAGTCAGATGTTAATTTTTTTCATTTCATGCTTGCCTTTATGATTTTGATACAAGTATGGATTTTATTATAAGTATGAATTCTTACAATTCATTTTAGAAAAGTATATGCAAGGTATGAAAATATTAGATAGTACATAGGTGATTTCCGATGTTGGTTCTATGATTATTTTATTAATCATTATGTTTAGTATACTCATATAAATTATTTATATTTCTTGCATAAGTTGTCGTTTTCTGTGAGCTGTATTATATCATGTATTTTTTTCTTTTATTCTTTTATGGAAATTGAATAGCATATTTATCAGTTTTAGATTAAACATTAATTTGTGACACTTTTCTGGTAAGTAATATTTCCTTTAAAAAGACATGGTTTTGAGACTGCCATACTAATATAGTATTGCAGTACAAAGTTATTGTATTTCTAAACACCCTTTTTTGAATTAGAAAAAATGTTTAGACAATAATTTTTTGTTATCATGAGCTTGATTTCAAGACCAGATAGTGCCTTTGATTAGACTGCTGAAGAGGCTTCCTTGCTTATGTGAATTTTAATTATTAAATGGATAGAGGAACCATAGTTTCAGGATCATGTTTAACCCCTAAAGGATGGCAAAATTTAAAACTGTGTGCCCACAGGGCAGCAAAAAAATTCTATATTCGGTCTGTTTTAATATAGTTTTTTTTTTTTTTTTTTTTTTTTTTGGGGGGGGGGGGTATTCAGTCTGCACATATATCTGAAGATAAAAAAATTTAAATGTCCTTTAGCAGTTAAGCGGCTATATTAAGATTGAAAGAAATATAATTCAAGGTTGGATATTTTTTTTCTTTCTTTTTAATTACAAGAGGGTTGTGTCAGCTAGAAAGAAAGAAAATGTTTGCCAGACTATTTTTATAATTTTGCATTTATAGTAATAAGGATTTAGATCTTATGTAAATTGTGTTTCAGATTTGTGTTTTTAAAGTTACTACAAATTGAATTTCTTTGAGCTGACTTGTATTTTCACTTGAAAAAAAAAGTGACCAAAGTGTAAAATAAAAGAACATTGGAATTCTTCAAATGTTGATTTATTTGAAGTGTACATAATAAGTTATAAGTCACAAACATGAACTTTCTCGTACCTTCAAGATACAATAATAGAATAGCAAAGATCCTCAGGGCGTCCGGATACAAATAATAATCTGGACGTCACTGGGTAACACTTAGATAATAGAAAGTGATGCAGTCTAAAAATAGAAATTCCAACAGATATGAAATGTTACACAGAAAAAGTTTTTTTTTTTATTATGTACAGGACACATTGAAACTGGAAATTTGCATCAATGCATAAAATTCTGTATAATATTCATATGACAAATGTGCAGTAGGACATTCCATGCAGTAAACAAGAAGTGGGATTTTCTCTTGTAAAGCCCAGTATCTTGGTAAGTACAGAGTTCTATTTTCTAACTTCCAGCATTTTAACACCTTTCATTCTGTCCTGCCAGCTTCTACATCCATTCTGTGCATACCAAACATTTGTCTTTTTTACTCTCTTTTTAACTACCAAAAGCTAAGTGATGTATGAATTTAGCTGTATCCAAACAGCTTCCCTGCAGTAACTTGGAAAAATTCTGAAACTGTCACCATGGACATTTCAAAATGTGAAATTCTGAAATCAAAATCTATGGATTTAGGGAATATAAAGACCAGTAATATAAATTACATATTTTTCCTTATTGATTTATCTACGGATTTCATTACTTAGACCATACAAAACAGGCAAATGATTCATTCATTATTATTAAAAGTTTTTTTTTTCCTGAAATCACAAAAGTCTCTTCTTCTCATCATGTTTTCCCCTATCCTCAGGCCATAATCATTCAGGTTAACTTGGTGAAGCTTTGGTCATTGGCAGCAACTCTACTACTTATACATTTTGGAATTTATATATTTTAAAACTCAATGCAAGACCTTGTTTCAAGGGATTGTAATAAACTGTATTCAGTAAATTTATATCTGTATATTAATAGAAACCCTGTTATGTATTGCAAAATTTGTTCATTAAACACTAATTTAATGGTGCAATGTATTAATATTGTCATCAAGCATTGAAACAACAAGTTTTATCTTGAAAATAGGTTGCATCATGAATATCAATTTGGTTGGATAGTAAAAATATTTTGTTTTCATCAATTAATTCTTGTTTATCATCCAGATAAACATGTTATTCCTACATGGTATTCAGCTAATTGGTATGTACATACTTTACAGTTGCAGAAGAGAGAGAGAAAGAGAGAGTCTTATAAAAAGAGCCTGTAATAAGGTATGCAGCATACTCAGCCATTACTACTACAGAAATCATTCACATTTTGCATAGAATAACACATTGTAACTCATGAATGGAAAGTTGACAAAAGTAACTCTGTACTATATAAGTAGGCTCATTATATAGGTACAGCAAATCACCTGAACTGAACCACCAGCTTTAGGTATATAACAGTGTTTTTCTGCCTTTTTATTCCCTGTCACAAGTATTGCTGTGTGGAAATCCTCCTTGGAGATTAATCATTCACAATGAGCTTTTTTCTAAAAAGGTTTCCTTGCCAAAGGTACAGGATGTTTGGCAACACAAAGACAGCCTGGGAGAAAGTAATTTTTGTGGGTGTAATGGAGCTCAATCTTTATTAATTATTCCTTTGTGCTAAAGTTTAAAAGTTCACCAATGTAAAATTAAGTATTTTAACATCAGAAAAAAAAAAAAAATGTGTATTTTTTCATATTGAGCATTAAACTATAAAAGCACTTGCTGAAAATAACAATTCCTTTATCTCTCTGAAACAAACTATACCATTGCGGAAACACAATCTGATTCAAAGAAGGATATCCACTTGACCAGAATTAATTAACAGTCAGTGGTAGACACCTGCCGCTCTGGAAGAAGCTCAAGATCATTATATTAATTTTTGGGGGGATGGGAGGATTAACTCATGACATCTATACTTTAGCATCTGACGTGTGTCAACCACTGAAGATAGCAATTACAAGACAGAAATTAACATTGTATACAAACCAATTATCATATTTTAAATTGATTAAAGCCATCACTAACCCTATTTCTACAATGGAAATCCAAATAAAGAAAACTGATTCATTATGTAAGAAAAAAGATGTCTAACATGTGTATCAGTTATAAATGCATTAATAATAGACATGTGATTTATAAATTGATAAGTTGCATATATGAACTACACTGTAACACAGAGGACACAACATGTAGAACAATCAACTGTTCAACTTACTTTCTACGACCAAATTTATTGCCTTTCCAAAGACATTTGAAGTCTTTTATTTAAATTCATCAGATGATTCAATTTAATAGGTTACAATGAACAGAAGGTAATCTGAAATTTGATTTTGAAATAAAAACAATCAAACTGTATAATAACAAGAAAAAAATTAGTACACAGACACTTGATGCTAAACTCCTTTAAAATGTTCATTTTTTGCATAGAAGTGAAATCAGTTCACAGGGAGGCTTGTTTTACTTTGCATGCTGGGAACTGTATCTTGTACCACGAGACAAACACTGAGCCAAACCTGCAGTCCACTCTCTGCCTCCTCACACTGGCATATCAGTGAGGCAAATATTTTGTTTAATATGAATAGTTAGTTAGGATACTTCAAGTCTTAAACATCTTTAAAAGGTAACAGCTCATGCAAAAGACTTCAACATTATGTATGATTTTACCAAATACCAATAGTACATCATTATGATTACTGCCATGATGTGCCATCAATGGGAACTTGTCCCAGAGTAGTCTACAGTTTATGGAACACTGAAATATTGACCTAAATATGCTAGTCAGAAAATCACAGAATAATTAACGGAGACTTTGCACAGCCAGTCTCTATGGCATTGTATTAATATTAAGCAAAACAGTGTACTTATATATCACTGAGTTATATTACTGTATTTAAATCTAGCACAACATCAAAAACAATGGTTCAAGTAATAAGAAATTATGCATTAATAACATTCTAGAAATAAACGTCTTGTCAGTGAACAGCACTTTTCAGATGCTTCAACGATGTTTAACACTCACACAGCCCAGCCTCACATGACAGGTTAGTCTGGATGAACCAATAACTAATTCTTGTCATTTCCTCCCGTACATGGATGCTCTTATTTTTTAACCCAGTACACCTTATGGAATAGGCCTTTCAGAAACTGTTATTGACCCGGATGGCAGCAGAACAGCCCAAAGACATTGAGTTGTGACCTAGCATGAACCAGAATTCAAACAAGTCCCAATGCATTAAACAACAGTCAAAAGCTCTGATCTATATCTAAAAAAAAAGAAAAAAAAATGTTGCTTATGTATACAAACCCCATAAAAATGAAAACAAACGTAGTACTTCTACCTCCTTGTACAACGGGACTAATCTTTACATAAAAGCCCCTATGAATAAAACAACTTATAGCAACTGGATGTTTTTTTATATTAGCACAAATTGTGTAATCACATAAATTAAAAATAAAAGCGATCTGCAGCAATTCTATCAGATCATAAGATTGTCAAAAAGACTGGGAGAGGCTACCAAACATCACAGATGACAGTAGTTATTAGTTACCTTCATATAAAACTATTAAATTTACTGTGCACATATGCAAGATTTTCCATCAAGCCAATGAAAACTAATGTTTTCTATTTTTCTTGCTGGAATATTTACTTGATTTACTTTATTAGAACATAAAGTAAAGAATATCACTGTTTAGCTACATCCTGAAATCTAATGCAGAAAATTAATCAACCATTATTCTCCTGTTGGTGGGGTAATAAATATAAATTGTAGCAGACTTTAGCCAAGACAAAAACACTTCAAAACTCTTACATACTGATTCAAAAATAACATTAAACTCTCTAAGTGCTCAGTCTACACTATTTCAGTTTTCTGGCAGTGTAAGACATCTTAGCCAAAACATCTCTTCAAAACATAACCAACAATTGCCTTGCCTGCCTTTTCTAGCACCGCTGCATGCATTATCTTCATTACTCACTTTTAACTGTCTTTGTCCCCTTGCAAAATCTCTTCTCTATTTATGCATTACTAGAGCAGCTACGCTTTATTGTGTTGGCACAGCTTTCTCTCACTTAAAACAGCAGATACACATTTTATTGCATTAAAGGATACAGTTTTGCATCCTGTTATATGTATTCAATAAATGATCTTAGGAAGTTAATGAGAAACCAACAACAACGAGGTAAGTTTTTAGAGAGTTTTTAAGTTTATCATGTTCTTTACATTTATATCATTTTAGAAATTGTAACAAGTACATCATGATGATGATTTCCTTCTGCACTGCACCAAGTGATAGGCCGTCACATCATCTGTCCTCCCCGCAGACCTCCAGTTCATCTACTGCTGGGAGTGTGATATCAAGCGACCTCTTCCTGGTAGATGGGAAGAACAAATTCACAGTATTAGCATGTATTTCTATAGACAGATTATGGAGTCATTCCTTACTTTCTGCAGTAGATAATCACCACTGGGATACCTTTCTTATGAATTCCACTTTTCCTTCAATTTCAGGTTTCAAAATTATCTGTTTTCCTTATGGTGATTTGCAGTGTATCAAAATTGTTAAATCAAATATGCAACATTATATTTCATGAAAAAATATATACATATCTCAGAATTAAACAAAATAAACTGAAATATCAATGCAGCTTTAAACAACAGGTTTTGTACACAAGGTAACATACATGAAAAACAAAAACCTGCAAAGACAGACTTATTAGACAGCATATAGTATTCTAAATACTTACAGAAACAAATTAATACCTCTATACATGCTACATATAGAATACAGTATGCTGGTAAAAGTCCTGTGTCTGCAAGTTTAAAACTACATACAAACATTTGTGGTAAAACATTCACATAACACAAGTAATCATCAATCAAAGAAGCAACAAAACTTAAAAAGCACAGTAATAAAACCTCATAAAGGAGTCAACTTTGATGAAAGGCGCTAGAATTCTTTTTGCATAGTTTCTTTGAAAAAAGGCTATAATTTTACTTTCTCATATGATTGGAGATTTGTATAGAAATTCATGAGTAACTTTAACAAAAATCATTATATCTTCATCACTAGACATTTGAAACATACATTATTTGAAACAATGATGCTACTGACTAGAAAGTGAGGCTCTAGTAACAGATTATTTAGTAGTCTGATACATATTCCTCAAACAATGAAGCAGTCAGCTGCTGTGGTGCCTCAAATAATAGTCAGTTGCTTGCATTTGATACAAATATTGTCCATGCCTCAGATACCTCTAGAAAGGTAGTCTCTCTGAAATAAGTGTGTTAAAAACATCAAGCCTAATTTCAAGAACATTAACATTTACAAGTAAATCACAAGACCAAAAGCAGAAGCTTTTTAAAGCAATTACTCCACATTTTTTTGACTGACACTATTTTCACACCAATAGCAAAAGAAATGCTATTTCTGCATTTCATATTATTATTTATCCATGTATTGCAAAGCATTTAAGAATGTATCATATTTTTCTCCAGCCTTTACATACCATCCTTTGATACTTGAGCAGTAAAATGACAATACTTATCATCTTGAACTATGGCCCAATATTTCTCTTTAGCATACTTGATGGGTTTTAGTAAATTTACAAAAAACTAATTTTCTGGGAACTAAATTTTTACCATCTAAATGAGAGTGCTTACTAATCACAAGGTAGATAATGGCAATACTTTTCTACAAATCTATATCCTGAACATGAATGCTCATATGTCAATGAGAACAACTGATATATCATTCCATGCCTTTACTGAGGTTATATCTAAAAAGAAAAATATCAACAATAGGTAGACTTTTTTGACTTCATATTGTGTGTGTATCAAGGAAAGTGCATTTAATAAGATTCTCGAAGCCAAACAAATAATAAAAATCAGCAACTGATGATGAAATACAAAATGAAAGTCTCTAAAATCACTAAATTGGGCAAACGTTCAGGCTTCAAATGCACGTTCAGCTTTGCTTACTTCCAGCAATCATCCTGTTCTACTGATGGGTGAGCAAGAGACACAATAATACCATAGCTTTCGATAACTTGTAAATCCTTCAATTGGAAATATACTTGAATCAATTATCAGAGCATAGATAACTAGCCACCATGGTAAACTACAGCCCACAAGCTGATAGAACTATAATTACATGGTTATTCCTCAAGGACATGACTGCCTGGAGATGTATCTTAGATTTCCCAGCCTTAGCATACTGTTTGCAAGTCATCTTGACCGGCACAAAAAAAGCTGATTAATATTTGCTTTTAAGTTTATCATATTAGCATCACTAATAAGCTGTATCATGGATAGAATTTAAAGTTACCATAAAATAGTTCAAGTATTATATGCATTTATCTATATGTATGCACATATCTATGTGTGTACCTATGTATGTTAGTGTGCCTTATGGTTTGAACAGTGGGAGAGGGAGGGAAGGGAGGGAGGAGGAGAGGGAAAGGAGGGAGGGGAGGGAAGGGAAGGAGGGGAGGGAGAGAAGGAAGGAGGGAGGGAAGGAAGGAAGGAAGGAAGGAAGGAGGGCGGAAGGAGGAAGGGAGGGAGGGAGGGAGGGAGGGGGAGGGGAGGGAGGAAGGAAGGAAGGAAGGAAGGAAGGAAGGGGAGGAGAGGGAGGGGAGGGAGGGGAGGGGAGGGGAGGGGAGGGGAGGGGAGGGGAGGGGAGAGAGAGAGAGAGAGAGAGAGAGAGAGAGAGAGAGAGAGAGAGAGAGAGAGAGAGAGAGAGAGAGGAGGAGAGAGAGAGAGAGAGAGAGAGAGAGAGAGCGAAGAGAGAGAAGAGAGAGGAGAGGAGAGAGAGAGAGAGAGAGAGAGAGAGAGAGAGAGAGAGAGAGAGAGAGAGAGAGAGAGAGAGAGAGAGAGAGAGAGAGAAAGAGAGAGAGAAAGAGAGAGAGAAAGAGAGAGAGAGAGAGAGAGAAGAGAGAGAGAAAGAGAGAGAGAGAAAGAGAAAGAGAAAGAGAAAGAGATTGAGAGTGAGTGTGTGTATGTAGTGTATATTGCACAAATGTGCATATGCAATATATAATAATTATGAACATGGTCAGGTTCTTTAACAGGAAATGTGTCTGTTACTCACTCATGAACTCAGTGCTGTGACTCATATATTGTCCTATGGTGCTGTTAAAATAATTCATATTATTTCTCAACGACTTTATGTCTACTATGGACATCATAAAAACAAATTTAATTATTTTTCCTCATATATATGACATTGTAATTCTAGTCGTTCATATGATTTCACAAAGCAATTTCAATTTCAAAACTACAAAGGTTCTTATATTTTTTTCTAATCTACTACACCCTGTGAATGCATTATTCCCATTTTTTCTCATAAAAATATCTTTCATTTCAAAATGTGGTGATACAAAAACTGGCCGTAAAAAGCACCAATAGGAACTGTGAAATGAGCCTTTTTTGCCGGCACTAAAAATCTGATGTAGCAATAATCCTCCTCTGCAATTCTATTTTCTTAGAACTTTGATGTAAAAACCTTCTGACTGATGAGAGTCCAAGCTCTCTCTCAACACTTGACAGCTGAACACCTTACAAAGAGAACATTTTCAAGTAGAGTAAAAAATAATAATCTTTTACATGGAATACTTAACTTCAGTTCTGAAAAAAATAAAACGAATGAAACGTTCAACCAATTTCAGTCATGAAAATTTTGAAAAACATGAAGGACCTCCATCATGAAAATGTTCTTCCCTTCACCCACATAATATAGACATGATAAACGTTACTGGGTCAGTACTACACCACGGAGAGCAACAAAGGCGTGCAGTGCAGGGCGCAGAGTGGAGGAGGAGAGACGAGAGCTGCCGTTTACCACCACCACAACCCATACCTGTCCAAGTAGAACTCATACGAACCAGGCGCCGAGTGCGACCGTCCTGCACGCGCAAACTGCTCCTTGATGAGCACGTTCATCTTGAACGGGTTGTGGAAGCTGTGTTTCTTGAGCATACACTTGATGAGGATTAGCGTTTCCAGCTTGGGGATCGACCGCACGCACGTCTGGACTTCCTCGTCCGTGACCTCGATCAGTACACAGTTCTCCTCTTCGGTGGGTAATGGGTACTGATTGCCTGCTGTCACCCAGGGATGTTGCTGCAAGTGTATGGTGGAAGTTTATAATATATGTATATTTTTAGTTGGGGTTGAAATGATGGGTTGTTTTGCGTCATGAATCACCCTAAAGGATAAAACTAAGCACATAACTTATTCAAAGTACGGAGTAGCTGTTTATATGATCATGTTATATACAAATTGACATAAATCATGACTTAATTTGTCACAAAGACTAGCGGAATCATGTAAATCTATGCTATTACCAAATATCATATACAGACGTGAAAAATTCTGAAAAATAAAGCAATAATCGAAGAAGGTTTACTGTAAAAGTTTCTATTATGGCAAGAGACTGCGGGGGCATGTGCTTTTGACAGGACAATAACAATGGCTGCCAAGAAGAGTCCACGTAAAGTATGAGCACAAAGGAGCGTATTTGTTCCCGAAGTCTTATTAATAGAAATCCTTTCCTTTGAGAGTTTTCAAAATGAATAAACATATAAACACATTAACTAACATGTGGGCATTAGAATTATATTGAAGAAATTTCGTTCTACCATCTTTTCGTAGTATGCGAACCGAATTCTGCCGTTACAAAGAAAGCTACAAGACTAACCTAATTCCGTACGTTCACAATCATATTTCATATTTTTTTTCTTTACTTCTTTTACTTACCTTAATATCCGGTAGCGTTATTCTCTTAGCAGGATCCTTTTCTAACATTAGGCTAATCAGATCCTTGAGATCATCGGAGACGAACGGCGCGGGAGGGAACACGAGGGGCGCGTTCCGGATCTTATCGTACAACACAACAATATTTTCATCGTGGAATGGAAGTTTCCCGTAAACGAAGGCATATAAAGTCACGCCCATTGCCCAGATGTCAGCGGCCTGTGAAGAGAAAGGGAATGGAATAATGCTTTAGTCTTTCCCAAGTCCGAATAGAAAAAAAAAAAAGAAAATGGAGTGTTATGAAGACAGTAGGAGCTAACTTTGTCAAAATCGGAAATTAAATGTCTAAATGTATTATCCTTCCATGAAACTGAAAAGCAGTTTTCGATAGTATTTTTAAAAGAATATTAGATCAAGTTCACTTATTCCTTTCAGACGAGTGGATTGTGTAGCGCAATTCATTTTATGAATAAAAAAAAAAATCCACTAGCGTTTGTTGTTCTTGCTCTAGGTATTTCACATTCTCTCTCTCCTCCTTCCTTTACCCTTCCCCCGACCCTCTCTCTTTCTTTCTCTCTCTCTTCTTTACCCTTTCTCTCCCTCTTTTCCTCTCCATTACTCCCCTCTCCCTCCCTCCTCCTCTCTCTCTTCCTCCTCCCCCTCTATCTCTCTCTCCTCCTCCTTTCTCTCTGTTCCCTCTCCCTCCTCTCTCACTCCTTTACCACCTACCCTCTCACCCTCCCTTTCCCATCTTCCTCTCCTCTTTCCCCATCCCACCCCATCAACCCCTCCCCTACCACCTTCTCCCTTCCTTCCATACTCCTCCCTCGTCTTACCTTCCCGGAATACTTATGCCGAGACGTGGAGAGCGCTTCGGGGGCCATGAAGGCAGGTGTTCCCGCCGTGTTGGTGAGGAAGGCGTCCTGGCCGTCGAACTCGTTGCAGACCCCGAAGTCCGCGATCTGGATGTGTCCGTTGTCGCCGAGCAGCAGGTTCGATGGCTTGATGTCTCGGTGGATTTCTTCTGGTAGTGTACTGTGGGGAAGGGGAGAAGGGGAGAGAGGGGGAGTGATGTGAGTGTGCATTTTGAAATTATGCATATATGGTTTAGGGTATGAATGCTAATGTTATTTTTGCGTTCAGAAAATCAGAAATTGGTTTATATGCCATAAGAAAAAGATGTTCGCAATTCAAGGTAACATTATGTTACAGGAAAATTTATGACAAAAAACATCTTGCACTTACAGTATTCTATGCCGAGAACGACGTCCCTGAAGTAGCCCCAGGCCTGGTCTTCCGTGAGGGGCGTGTCCGTCGGCACCTCCATCACCTCGCCCTTCTCCAGGAGCTCGAATGCTGAGGGCGAGAACCCGCGTTAGAAGACGCCAACACCCCCAGGCCGACTCCCCGAAATCCCAGTCATCCCACATACCTTTCCACCCCATTTCCCGAAACGAACAGACAAGGCCTCTTTGGATAAGCCGTCGAGGGGGAGGGGCTCACCCATGTAGAAGTTATCCTCGTCCGGGTCGTCCAGGACCTCGACCAGCTTGACGACGTTGGGGTGGATGAGCTTCTTGAGGATGGCGATCTCGCGGTGCACTCTGTCCAGCGGGTTCTCGATCGGACGGCCTCCGACGCGGCGGGGGCGGCAGCCGGCCTTCACTGCAACGCCCAGAGAGAACCGTCACTTTCGTCTATGTTAATATTCGTAAAGAACTGCCTAATGGGGTTTTGGTTATTATGACTGATTCTGTGTGAAATATATAAGCACTATCAATAAATGGACATGTTTGATCAATGGTTGAAATGAAATGTGTCGTGAAAGCCTATCGGTACAACTGCACCTTGCGTTGTAAATGACAAAACAATTGCACCTACAAAGCCGGCTAAATAGTACGTCCAACCAATGTGAATTATGATATTCAAATGAGAACAACACTACTTTATGACGTTGTTTTTTGAGAAAACACGTTTGTAATTTTACTCGACATGAGTTCTAATGTTTTGCATTTTAAGTTTTGTGTTTGTCTCTCTAATTCCAAGTTCAGATAGGATCACATCCTTGCATATATATGTGATTACTTGATTACATACTGTATAAGTGCAACATGAACACAGAAAACTCTATTCATACGGAGTACACCGATGCACTCAAGCATGTATGTGAAGTACAGGACACTACACACTAGACAGGGCACGTGGAGGGCCGGTGCGGTGACGGCACTTCGGCAACGATCTATCTAGCGCCGTTGCTGGACGTGCTGCGCGGGCGCTCTACGGCACAGCTGGGTCTGCCGTGCGCCGCCCAGCGTGAGGCTCGCTTCTTCACACTGGGTGGGCGGACACACACTGCGTGGGCGGGTGAACGTTGCAAAATGGATAGTAGTAGCAGTAGTTTTTTTGTAGTAGTAGTTATTGTAGTAGTGGTGTGGGCGGCAGCCAGGTGGCGGTGAGGGATGGTGGCGTAGGTGGTGGTGTGCGGGCGGACTTACCTCTGAGAGTGGGCGGCGAGTAGCTGGCGAGGCGGTGGCACGGGCTGAGGGAACGGGCGTGCGGCGATCCCTCCGTCTCGCCGCCTATGGTCCAAGCTCGGCCTGCTCCGCCATGCACACCCGAACACCAACACGAACACCAACACAAAAATGACAAAAAAAAAAAAAAAAAGGTAAAGTCAGGCAAACATAAAAAACATAAAAAAGGTGAGGTTAACACAACATGCTGGAAAAAGGGGGTGGGGGTGGGGGGGGCGGGCGGGCGGGTGAATGGGGGGAGTGAAATATCTTAATAGTCTTTCATGAATGCATTCGGGGGAGGTCTGTGAGGGGGGAGGGAGGGAAGGGGGGGGGGGGGGGTTGTGAGAGCAAGACAAAAGAAGCGTGAACGACCTGCCAAAAGTGAGGGAAGTCCAAATGGTCAAATATGAAAGGTGTTAAGAACTTGGAATATGAACAAGGTTAGGTGTGGGAGCGGAGTTAGAAGGAAAAAAAAGCTGTCCTGTGAGAGCGAGGAGCAGCATCAGCGTCTCGTCATGCAGATCATAGTGAAGAGAGACAAGACAGAACACACGCACACACACACGCACAAACACACACTCATGCACGCACACGCGCGCGCACACACACCACAACACACACCACTCACATCCCCTGCATCCCTATTCACGACCAACATCCTAAACCCACTCACTCTATCGTGTGCCATAAAGATGGCCTTAAGGGCGGGGCCTTTGAAGTGAATCGCAGTTCAACGGATTTTTTTTTCCAGAGCT